GATCAAATCATGACCCCCGGGGGTAGGGCGGGGCCACATTATAGCCGATCAAAGTTTTACATAGAAGTATGTATGAAAAATGTTTAAAAATCTTCTTCTCAAGAACCACTGAGCCAGGAAAGATGAAACTCATGTGGAATCATCTTCAGGTAGTGTAGATTCAAGTTTGTTCAAATCATGACCCCTGGGGGTAGGATGGGGCCAAGCCGATCAATGTTTTACATAGGGATATGTAGGGAAAATCTTTAAAAATCTTGTTCTCAAGAACCACTGGACCAGGAAAGATGAAACTCATGTGGAATCATCTTCAGGTAGTGTACATTCAAGTTTGTTCAAATCATGACCCCCGGGGGTAGGGCGGGGCCACAATGGGCGATGAAGATTTTACATAGGAATATATAGGGAAATCTTTTTAAATTTTCTTCTCAAGTACTTTAAAGCCATGATTAGTGATATTTATATGGAATCAACCTCCTTAGTGTAGATTTTAGTTTGTTCAAATCATAACCAACCACCCTTTCCCCCACCCCCCAGAGGTCAATGTTTTACATAGAAAAATAAAGGAAAAATCCCAAGAACAGAAAAGCTATGTTTAGTCATATTGACATGTAAGCATCCTCATGTATTGAAAATATAAATTTGATCAAATCATGGCCTTTTCAGAACTTTTCAGTTCTGACCTGATCTGTGCTTTTTCCTAGACGATGTGCTCAGGTGAGCGAAGTGGCCCCTGGGTCTCTAGAATATGGGCCATAACTCAAGAACCCCTTGGCCAATCAGTGTCAAATTTGTCACAGTGTATCCTTGGCCTAAGGGCTACCATTTATACTAGAATAAGGGTTGGGACCCTTAAACAAGGGAAGATAATCAGGTAAACAAAACCTAAAGTACTGGTTGCTGAAAAATCTTCTTATCCAGAACCGCCCGGCAGATTTTCACCAAACGTACATACAAGGATCAGGATATGTAGAAGATTAAAATTTGCATGGGGAATTACCCTGGGGCAAAGAGCGTGGTTTCAAGGTCACTTCAAAGTTGACCTAAATTTACAATTAATAAAAACGTTTATATTTTGCTTACTATAAGGACTAGGATCATCAAATCTTGTAAGTTGATGCATTATAGGACTTCACATCATGTTAACTCAAAAGTAGGTCACGGTGATCTACTTTTTAAATTTTGCGGGCATTTGTTTTCAAATTGATTTGAAGGCATATTTTGGACCCTTTAAGGCCTATGATCATCAAACTTTGTCAATTGATGCATCTTGGGTCCTCAAACAACGTCAACTTAAAAGTAGGTCACCTCGACCTACTTTTTGAACTATATGACTAATCCTTTCTAAAACATTGAATCCCATTATTTCAGACACTGTGAGTTTTAGAATCATCAAATCTTGTAAGTTAATGCATCTTGGGACCTGAAAACATATTTATGAAAAAGTAGGTCACTGTGACCTACTTTTTGAATTTTGCAGGCATTTGTTTTCAAATTGTTTAAAAGGCATATTTTGATTACCTTCAGACCTACTCATCAAACTTGGTCAGTAGATGCATATTGGGACTTTGAAAAATGTCGACCAAAGTGTAGGTCACGGTTACCGACTTTCAACATTTTATGGCTATAATTAAGTATCTTAGGTATTTATTGGCTTAGAATCATCAATAAAAAACTTTGTGAGTCGATGCATCTTGGGATTTTATGAAAGTGACGACCAAAAAGTAGGTCACAGTGACCTATTTTTGACATTTTATGGCTTTATTTAAGTATCTCCATTACTTATTGGCTTAGAATCATCAAACTTTGTCAGTTTAGGCATCTTGGGTTTTCGGAAAGTGACGACCAAAAAGTAGGTCACGTTGACCTACTTTTGACATTTTGTGGCTATATTTAAGTATCTCTGGTACTTATTGATGTAAAATCATCAAACTTTGTCAGTTGATGCATCTTGGGATTTTGGAGATTGTCGACCAAAAAGAGGTCACAGTGACCTACTTTTGACATTTTATGGCTATATTTAAGTATCTCAGGTACCTATTGGCTTAGAATCATCAAACTTTGTCAGTTTAGGCATCTTGGGTTTTTGGAGAACGTCAACTAAAAAGTAGGTCACCCTGACCTTCTTTTGACATTTGATGGCTATATTTAATGATATCTGGTATTAATTAGCTGGGAATCATCAATTTTGTCAGTTGAGGCATTTTAGGGTATCGGAGAATGTCGACCAAGAAGTAGGTCACGGTGACATACTTTTGAATATCTCGGGTACTTATTGGCTTAGAATCATCAAACTTTGTCAATTAATGTATCTTGAGTCTTCAGAAAATTTCAATCAAAAGGTAGGTCACTGACCTACTTATCGTATTTTATAATTATATTATTATATATTCAGTCTTAACTGGCTAAATATTATCAAACTTTGTCAGTTGATGCATTTTGAGTCTTATAATACTAACAGAGTTGGAGACTTCTAATAGAAGTGATAGATTGTACAATGTATCAGAAGAGCGATTCAAGGCCCTTGGGCCTCTTGTTCTATGCAGTTTCTCATTTGGGAATCGAGCTTTCATTAACTGCAAGTGATGAAATCATCTAATAAATGGAGAATATATTTGATTCCATAATTGTTACACGCTAATGCAGCACATATTGCTTGGGAAAGACTTTCAAACATTTTTGGACTTGATCTTCAACCAAATGATAATTTTATATAGTAATAATATTGTGAAATTCATTTGAAACAAAATATATGCTGCTCTTTGGGTAAAACAGGGACAAGTTTAAAGGCATCGGAAATGTCTGTTTTGCACATAGTGGTCCCACGTCCTAGAGTCTGAATAATTCGTATGGCGTCATCTATTTTTACATAAGACAGAGAACAGTTTTCTTTATCTATCATCGAATTAACACAGTCATGATGCTCGCTATCATGTGGGGATGATAAGTCCATGATAAGCCTTGGTTTCCCTGAATATTTCTCAATTGCCACATCTATTGGGCTTACTCTGTATTTTGGGAATGGAATTGACTCTAATGGACCTACCACGAAATCTATTTATCTACTATTTCTGGCTGATTTCTGGCTGACAGAAGATTTCTACATTCTAAGGTTTCTGAATCAGCATCTGCATTAGAAATCATAGTATCGAAACCATAAATAAAACCATCACAAATGCAAAGTCTTTGTCAGGATGATGGAAAAGTTCATGTGTTAAAGCTTCAATGTTTACAGGGATTGTTAGGAGATCATCTGTCATCATGATCATGTTTTCTAGTCACTTTTTTCCTTTCTTAGTCTGGACTCTGGAAACATTCTTACAGAAGGAGGCTCCATGGTCCTTAGAATGACATGTTGTGCACAGGTGTTCAAACTGGCAATTTTGTCTTTTGCATTTGTTTTCATTAAAGTAATCTATTATGGTCCTTGGTCGTCCATATCTGTCCATTGATGATGACTTCAGGTTCTGTGATGGAGATGAAATAATCACTGAATTCTACTTTCCGAGATTTTTCGACAGAAAGCAGATGTGTAAAGTTCATGAACATGTATTACAGGTATTGGCTTGAGCATTTCCCATCACCATCATCATAAGATTCAAGGCTGCTCTGGCAGAAAACTGACAATGGTAATCATAGAACTTTTGTCCATAAAGTTATGAATATCCACTATGTTAGCCTTGTACCTGTCCAGTTAACTTACCTCTCAGGGTACATTTGACACATGACTCTCTTGTATCTTCCAAATACAGTAATGAATTCAGCTATTGTCAGTTGTTTTTGGAGTCAAGGATCTTCATATTTAACTAGGTTTATTGTAATGCTCTTTGTCTTTTCTGCCTCATATATTGGTATGAGCAATTCTGCAAGATTTACATCTTTTCCTTCCCATATTTTCTTTTTGAGTTTTTCCCCTACTATGTTTAAATGAGTAATGCATTCAGAGGGTACACTAAATTCGAACTGAGGAAGTCTATACCCACCTGCATTTGTGCTTAGGCCAGTAAGGGTATCTTGAGCTGCTGGGTGAGTCTGGTTCCTCATGGCTGAATAAGCCGTGTCCAGAGAATTTCCTGTGTCTTTGTTGTTATTTGTCTTATCCCACGTAAGTCTAAGCACAGTCTGTTGTAGACTCATAATGGTTTGTTGCATGGTGTTCATTGTATTCAGCATGCCGCTAATTACTTGATTGTTTATAGAGGCAGCCATGTTGGAACTGTCATTACGCAAGGATTCCAAGCCCAAATTCATATGCATTTAAGAACATTGGACGGTCTGGTCGGTAATCTCGGTATATGTGGAAGTTCCGATATTTGAAGTTTCTTCAGTCTGTGTCACAATGGGTGCTTCTGTCGAGGAATGAGAAAACTGATCAGGATGACTATTTTGGGAAAAGTCATTTTCCCGCAGTTCACTCACCATGGGGGTTCTGCTTACATTTTCTAAATACAGTTTTCTAAGCGTGGCCTTTCCAATATTGGCAGGGACGTGAATGTTCAATTTCAGAAGTTCTTCTTGAAACTGTATCGTTGTCCAATTGTTTACATTTGTAGCATCCCATCGACTTGATATATTTTGTAGTGGACGCTGGCGAGTGCGCGGTCTAGAATTACCATCCGCCATTATGAGAAATCTGTCTCTGGATTCCAAGCCATGCTTACAGTTTTTATATCAAGAAAACATACAATTTCTCTCATTAAATTGTTCACACATCTCACATAATTATGTGCACACAATACGCAGTTCCAATTAGAATTAAATTAAGTCCATGGAAAATGGGCAATAAGATATTAGACTTCTGTTTACAATCAACTCTGCCACTGAAACTAGTTTTATAAATAACAGCCAATCAGAGTCATTGAACAATTAAATGTACCCGGTAACTATCAGAACCCAAACTGGTAGATGTTAAAGTTATGGTATTCTTTTCAACATAAACCTAGCTTATTCTCATAAGCCTTAATTAGCATCAATCAATGCAGTTCTGTTCTTTATATTTCTAGATTCTCTCTCTGGAGCCTCGGGAAACAGCATTTTTTCCAAAAAAGGAACACTGTCTGAAAAGTCACCACAACATCTGTTTTCTTGGAAAGTGCCAATTACCTTGCAATCTACCTTTTTTATTTACCTAAAATGCAAATTGTTTTATTGTGATGAGAATAAAGTGTGTCGAATGAAGGAAAAGAACATTATGCAAGAGTGTACTGTTAATGGTGATGTTAAAAGTGAAAGTACTGAGATTAATTTTACATTCTGTGTATAAGTATTTGATTTTAACTCTTAAGATTTTTTTAAGGTAAATTAAAGATCTCAGAATAACCTCAAAACTATGGACTGTTATCAGCTCCTCTGGCTATTCTTAGACAATATTGATCTCCTTTAGAAGAAGAGCTACATGTGAAGATATAGAAAAATGATCAGAAAACTTAAACGTATGAAATTTTTTTTACAAAATGGTATTTGACAGCTTAACAAATTTTATCTAAAAAATTAAACTATATCTGATGGTTAATTTGTTGACCCTCAAACCTCCTTCATTATAACTTGGCACACAAGTAAACTACACTAAGAAACATAATTTAGTGCATCGGTTTTTGATTTCCATGAACGGTGTTCTCATGGCTAGTAAAAATAGAAATTTCTGTGAAATTCCTTTAAAATGCTACTCCTCCTACAGTTTTGGTCTGCTTTAAATGTAACTTGGCACACTAATAGACTATACTAAGATAGATAATTTTTGCACCAGTATTTGATTTTAAACAGTGTTACCATGGTTACATGTACTAAAATAAGAAATTTCTGTGAAATTCCCTTAAACTGCTTCTCTTCCTACAGATTTGGTCCGATTTCAATATAGCTTGGCACACAAGTAGTCTACACTTTGATTCATAATTTAGTGCTTTGCTTTTTGATTCAACGAAAGGTGGTGCAATGGTTTGTTACAACGCGAAATGTAATAACAACATGAAATGTAATAAACCTGGATTATAACATTTTGCGTTATTACATTTTGCGTTGATCTCAAGATCAATGCAAAATGTAATAACATGCTTTTTCGTTGTTACATTTTGCGTAATTTTATTTTTGCACTGAAGACAACGCAAAATGTAATAAAACAACATGTAATAAAACAAACTATATATACTTTTTTTGATTGCGTATAACAAAAAAGAACATAAAATTGATTCAAATATATACATTCAACCAACATGGGAAACACGCAGTAAAAATATTTAGAACTAAAACATTGAGACCAACGTTAGCGCTTTTATGGACATAAACCTAATTGTATCGTTTTTCTGACTCTGATTTTAGTTATACTGAATAAACTGCACTTAATTATAAAGATTTAAATTACCTTTGATTGGCATATTTTTGATAGTCTTATTAAATTTCTAACCAATAACACATATTTAATTATCAAAGATTGACCATAGGTTTATTAAAGCTCTTGATATGCAATGCTGGTGATTTGCATGAAAGGTATGGCATCATTATTGTCAATAAACCCCTTCCCGCTATACATTTACACCTGCCAGTACAAATGAATAGTTTTTTAGCTCACCTGAGCCGAAGGCTCAAGTGAGCTTTTCTGATCACATTTTGTCCGTCGTCCGTCCGTCTGTCCGTCCGTCTGTCTGTCCGTCTGTCTGTCCATCTGTAAACTTTTCACATTTTCGACTTCTTCTCAAGAACCACTGGGCCAATTTTGACCAAACTTGGTACAAAGCATCCTTGGGTAAAGGGGAATTTAAATTGTTAAAACGAAGGGACATATCCCCTCGCAAGGGGAGATATCACATTTCATTAAAAAATCTTCTTCTCAAGAACCACTGGGCCAGTAAAGCTGAAACTTATGTGGAAGCATCCTGGGGTAGTGTAGATTCTAAATTGTTCATATCATGACCCCCAGGGGAAGGGCGGGGCCACAATGGGGAATCAAAGTTTTACATAGAAATATATAGGAAAAATCTTTGAAAATCTTCTTCTCAAGAACCACTGGGCCAGAAAAGCTGAAACTTATATGGAAGCATCCTGGTATAGTGTAGATTCTAAATTGTTCAAATCATGACCCCTGGGGGAAGGGCGGGGCCACAATGGGGAATCAAAGTTTTACGAAATATATAGGAAAAATCTTTGAAAATCTTCTTCTCAAGAACCACTGGGCCAGAAAAGCTGAAACTCAAGCATCCTGGTATAATGTAGATTCTAAATTGTTCAAATAATGACCCCCGGGGGATGGGTGGGGCCACAATGGGGAATCAAAGTTTTATATAGAAATATATAGGAAAAATCTTTGAAAATCTTCTTCTCAAGAACCACTGGGCCAGAAAAGCTGAAACTTATGTGGAAACATCCTGGTATAATGTAGATTCTAAATTGTTCAAATCATGACCCCCAGGGGAAGGGCGGGGCCACAATAGGGTATCAAAGTTTTACATAGAACTAGGAGACTTATTGTTCAAAGAACAATAAAATTTATAATTTATCTTTTAAGTACAAAGCATCCTTGGGTAAAAAGGTCAAGGGTCACATTGTAATTAACCTCATGGGAATTTAAATTGTTAAAACGCAAATAAAATGTTTTTTGCACAAGGGACATAAATCTTTGAAAGAGTTTTAAGAGTACCCATTAAGCATATGTTGAAAGACTCTCAGTTTTGGAATGACAACCTTTGCAATAATTTCATGATCAAAGGTCAATGAATCTTATGTAGTTGGTCCCATGTCTCTATCACTTCTCGTTTTGAAAATTTTTAATTATTTGTAAAATTCAAAAAGTTTCAGGGGCAATAATTCATTGAAGGGGTCACCGAAGACTTTCACAATGAATAGAGAACTTTTAATAGGGTCAATCTTAAGGGACAAGAATGAATTCTTTGAAATAGTTTGAAAAGTACATATTAAAGATGCAAAGATAAATTGTATAGGTTAAAAGACAAAAGAGATAGAAATGGAGCTTAATTTCTTAATTTTGGAATGACCTTGACCTTTGACCTTTGCATAAATTTTAAGGTCTAAGGTCATTGAATCTTATGCAGTTGGTCCCTTGTCTCTACAACTTCTCACTTTCAACATATTTAATTATTTGTAAAATTCGAAAAGTTCAAGGGGCTATAACTCATTGAAGGGGTCTCCAATAGCAAATAAACTTTCAAGGGGCAATGAGTAGATTCCAGAGTCCCCTTAAGTTGTCGAAGACATTAATGAAGGTTTCATGTCTCTATAAATAACAAGGATTTTCACATAAGGGGCAAAAGACAAAAATAGGGTAACATTTTCATAATTGGGGTCATTAAAAAATCTTCTTTGACCTTTGCATGAGAACCACTGGGCCAGTAAAGCTGAAACTTATGTGGAAGCCTCTCATCCTGGGGTAGTGTAGCATTTCTTGCGAAATTGTTCAAATCATGACCCCCAGGGGAAGGGCGGGGCCACAATGGGGAATCAAAGTTTTACATAGAAATATATAGGAAAAATCTTTGAAAATCTTCTTCTCAAGAACCACTGGGCCAGAAAAGCTGAAACTTATGTGGAAGCATCCTGGTATAATGTAGATTCTAGATTGTTCAAATAATGACACCCGGGGGAAGGGCGGGGCCATTATAGGGAATCAAAGTTTTACATAGAAATATATAGGAAAAATCTTTGAAAATCTTCTTCTCAGGAACCACTGGGCCAAAAAAGCTGAAACATATGTGCCCATGGAAGGATCATGGGGTAGTGTAGATTTCAAAATGTCCAAATTATGATCAGTGGGGTAGGGTGGGGATGCATTATGTATAACAAGGGTGAAATCTGGTAAAGAACAGAATGGTCAAAGCTTCTCAGGTGAGCGATGTGGCCCATGGGCCTCTTGTTTTAGAGTCGTTGCATTTGTCTTTAAAAAAAAAAAGCAAAAGCACACTGGTCAATACCCCCAACAACCCTGCCCACAGATGCACGTTTCTGATTTGCAATATCTATAATTTGAATACATTTATTAAACTGATTTTAAATACATGTAGCTAATTAAATCAATATATTATAATACTTATAAGTTGTAAGAAATTGTATATACATGTATCAATTCTTTTTCCTTTTGATTTATTTTCTTTTCATCGGCCTCTACACTATTGAAAATTGTACTCAATCTGGCTTATGAAAAAAGTGCGTTATTACATTTTGCGTTCTTGCCTTTTGCTGTATAATGTAAACAACAAAATGTAACAACGCAAGATGTAATAATCCAAAAATCGTGTTATTACATTTTGCGTTGATCTCTACGCAAAATGTAACAACGCAAAATGTAATAATGCTCAAAAGTGTGTTGTTACATTTTGCGTTATTGCATTCTGCGTTGATTTCGAAGCAAAATATAATAATCCAGGTTTATTACATTTCGCGTTGTTATTACATTTCGCGTTGTAACAATGGTTACTTAAAATAGTAATTTCAGTGAAATTTCCCTTGCAAATGCTACTTCTAGTTTTGGTTTGATTTCAATATAATATGCTACAAAGTATACTTGGGTAAAGGGGATTCAAGTTTGTTCAAATGAAGGGCCATTTGAGGTAATGCATTGCATGAACTCAAAGTAATGCTAGTGATGTGTAATGCCCAAAAATTTGCATTACATGTAATGGCAATGGTAATGCATTACTTCGTAAAATCCAGTGTAATGCTGGCATTGCATAGCATTACAGAGCATTATTTTTTAGCAAAGCACTAAATTATGAATCAAAGTGTAGACTGGGGTGGTGACGTACATTTACTTCCTGCGGGATTTTGAACAAAATATTTCTTCCGTCTATACATGTAAGCCTGTTGTCTGTCAGTAAAAACTACAATTTACAACTACAATATATTTTCTATTGGAAATGGTAACTATGTATAAATCCGATTTCTCGTGCTTGCGCGGGATTTCATCTAGTACATAATAAAACCAGAAGTCTCTGTCGAGACTGCAGCTCTACTGGTTTGTACTTATAATAAAGGAAGAGAAAAGTTGCAGTTGGGGACATAAAACTTTACAAAAGCAATAAATAGAATAATGATCCATGATTGTCCCTTTTTGTTGCAAGATTGCAATAAGACCACAACTGTAGAAGTAGCTTTTAATAGAATTTTACAGAATTTTCAATTTTAGTTACCATGGCAACATCGTTCAACAAAATCAAAAGCAAAAAAACTGATAATTATGTATCTCAGTGTAATCTACTTGTGTGCCAAATTATATTATAATCAGACTAAATCTGTATTTGGAGTAGAATTAAAAGTATTTCACAGAAATTTATATTTTTAGTAACCACGGCAACACCGTTCATTGAAATCAAAAACTGATAGACAGAATTATGTATCATAGCAAAGTCTTCTTGTGTGCCAAGTTATATTTAAATCAAACCAAAATTGTAGGAGGAGTGGCATTTTGAAAGTATTTCACAGAAATTTCTATTTTTAGTAACCACGGAAACACCATTCATTGAAATCAAAAACTGATATACAGAATTATGTATCTTAGTGTAGTCTGCTTGTGTGCGAAGTAATATTAAAATCAGTCCAAAACTGTAGGAGGAATAGCATTTCAAAAGTATTTAA